GGAGAAAAAAAAAGTTAAAGACCTGGATGTTGATCCAGGCTTAATCGAAGATGCTATGATTACTGTGACAACAGGATGATGCTGTTATGGACTGTAAGCAAGAAATAAGATTAACAACAGAACTGGAAGAGAAGTCTAAGGTCTACATTTTCATGATGATAAGCATGAACAGACAATTAAACATTTATGACTAAGCACCAGGGACATAGACAAAGTTTTAACTTATACAGCAGACTGCACGATAGATCTGTGAGGCATCACAAGAACTCAGGTTCTGGAAGGTAGAAACATCCAGCCTGAAATATATGTAAGTAGAAAAAAAGCTCAGTGGAAGAGTAAGAAGTGGCAGATACATATTGGTTAAAGTAGCTTTATGTCTTCCTACTTTGACACGTTTTAATCTAGACATTAGAAATCAAGCTACATAATACCTTTTGCTTCTGCAATTTTTACATAACACACTGAATATGAATAACTAGCTTTCTTGTAATGTTAAAGAAAACCATGCAAGTCTTCCTGTTAACTAGAACGTAGCACAAAAAAAGGAGAAAAATCAGAGTACCTGTAATCACAGAGGTGTAAAAGATGCACAAAATAGGTAATTAGACTCCTGCAAGTACACTAATGCTGAATGACATAATGCAGACTGAAGGATACACTTACATGATGGCAAGTCACTAACAGTCAGAAATGTTTGTCTACTGCCAACCAAAAAGTACTTGTCAAAACAAGTAGTTGTTGATCTTTGTACCCTGAATTCTGCAATTTATATTAATGTCACAATAGTGCACTTGTGGGCCAGATTATTTACAAAGGTCAATCAGTGGACTAAACAAGTCAAATCAGCTACAGCTTTCCATAATTTTCTTACATGTACAACACTACCCTTTTCATCTCCAGTCATCTAACCTGCACAAAGTGAATGGGACTACTGCTGCAGTAATTCCTAAGTACTTCAAGATGCATTAAAGTTGATTTTTGCTTTTGTTTTTTTAAAATAGAAAAGCATAAACCGGACCAGTTATTTCACATGAAACCACTTAAATTGACTCTTTTAATAGTCTTCTCTGAGTAGCACTAACATTTTCCTGCCTTAGCACATCACCTCTTTGGTAGCTTCTCAGTGTAAAATGAGTTTTGGTTTTGCAAGAAATAAAATGGCTATTTAAAAATAATGCTTGTCTACAAAAAGTTCTCTCAGCTTGGTTAACTGTGGACCACAATATTGCAAGAATTAATAACAGTCTAAAAAAGGAGATTTTAAACCATGGAAAAAAAATGGCTTTGAAGCTAAGCTGGTTCAATATACTTTCTGAACTCAGAAAAATGAATTTCTAATTTCTAATATAAATAAGATTAATATGTGGCAGGAGAAATTAGATAAGTCATTTATGCCTTCACAACACAACAATAAAGTATGGCTGGACCTAGTGGCACTTTACAATTTTTTTCCACACACCTATAAAGAGGCTGCAAAGTTGCAAAGTAGCCTCAAAGCCGAAAATATTGTATACAAGAACGTCATAGATGACGTTCTAAAAAGCTAGAATATCGTTATTTCTCCATCTCTCCAAAACCACAATTGTTTATGGAACTACTGGATGACACCATAATTGGGAAGACAATTCTAATCAAGGTATTGTATATACAAGAAGGAGAAATGTACTCTCGCACACAGATAACTCGCACGCAGTCAGAGGCCAAAGCAAGGAGGAGAAGTCCTTAGCGTGAGCATGCAGGTCATATGGTTTCAGCATTAAGGAGGCTCACGAGAGGAAAAGAAAGCGGCTATGAGGATGAGAAGCAGGAGGGGGTTAAAGGAAGGGGGTGTGGGGAGAGGAATTGAAAATATAGTGCTTATAAAATTTTGTTGATCTACTGCTGCTGTGCACTTGACTACAAAATACACATAACAGAACACGTGGTAAGGTGGATGACGGTGAAGTATCAAGTTTAATTCCAAATTACCAAGTATAAAAGTTATCTTCATCTTCAAAGTTCTTATGAAAAATAACTTAAGATTTTAAAAATCAGGCTCCTATCTATTTTCATCCTATGTAGATTGTACATAGATGCTACTTTTAAGCATTATGTGCTATTCAAAGTCAAACAGCTTGAAAGTGAATTTTTAGTTCTTCCATGTAATTTCTCCTGTAGAATCATAAAAATTAACTAAAATATATAAAAAAGAATACAGGAGTCACTTCTGTACTTTTTACACATCTGCCCATTGCTCAAAACTCGCAGGAAGGAAATATTTATTATTGATTTCATAACAGAACAGTTCATACTGCTGTTTTCAAGGCTCTTCATTGCGCTCTGCACATGTACCTGGCACTACGCAAAACAAAGTATCACAAAGGGCTTTATTCAGAGATATTACGGATGGACAAATACACCATTTATCCTACCAATCCTATTATGTCCGAGTTTCATTTATAGTCTGAAGAGCGTATACAGGCAAGTAATTCAAACACTAAAAAAATTTAGCTAATGTTTGGGCACAAACAAAAAAATATTTCAGTTTTCTAACAGCATGGTGGCATGTATTTTCTCCCCTTTCCTGGGTGGGTCATCAGAAAGCTCTTTTTAATATAAAGGGTGTTCTGCATAAAGCTTTAAATGAAGATACTTAATTCACCAGAAGATGACATGGCACTTCAGGTACTCATGACAGAAGCAACAAAATAAGTGTAGGAGTATGCCAAGGGAGTTGTTAAGAGAACGGTTCAAGAGGAGTGACGGGGGTGGAAGCGTAGGAAGAGACTAGAACAGACGTAGGCAGAAACCTTAAGAGCCTACATTAAGAAAGTAAAAAAGTTATGTAGGGCTATGACAACAGAGTAGCTACAGAGGAGGCAAGAGTGGTGGCAATCTGGATGGACTTTACCAACTAAGCAGCTATCAGCATTCCCTAACAGTGAGAATCCAGTGCATTTTCCTGCTGTTCTACTTCTGTGTGCATATGCCCGGTCACTATAGGAATGCAGCACTTCACAGTTTAAAAATTTCTGTGTTAAATAGTTCTGATCTACAGACTTCCAGGAGTTCTGGCAGGGTTTCACTGCGTATGCAGTCTGCACGTGCACTGAAAATTGTTTAGGAGCTCTATACACCCAAAAGACTGAAAAAATCACTGATTTAGGAAAATTATTTCACAATAACTTCTCCCAAATCTTAAATGGAAAATCTATGAAAAGATGCCCTGTATTAGCTTTTCTTAGGCTAATACAGCCTGTGAACATGTTTTGGCCTTGCCCGTGGTGGAAGACATTGAAACAGGGCTCAAAACTTGGAGGTGGCATAATTCTGCGGGCCTGACACTGCTTTCCAGCAAGTTTCTCTCTCGGACAGAATACGGGGTGGGCAGCAAGTAATCCCCTACACAAACCTCAAGATGAACAGCCTGGAAACATGAAAGGTTAAAAACTGTATTACTGAACACAACCTGCTCCAAGTGAACATACAAGGGGGGAAAAAAAGGTGTTGTGTATGGCAGCACTAACACAGAAATATACTCAAGCGTGACTAGAGAGATTAGAACCAAGATGACTAAAAACATGAGGTAAGTACAGATTTCAAAAAAATATGCAGTGAAGACTACTCTTCAGTCATGAGCAGAAGTACAAACCACAGTGAAAGCTGCTTTGGAAGAACAGTTTAAGAGCAATTTTCTCTGGCAACTGAAAAGGAGGAAGAGAACGTACCTGCTGGGACTCTCCGAATAAAATGGCTGTGGTGAACAATTTGATTAATTTCGCGTCTTTTTAAAGCAGCTGTGAACCAAACAACGGTTTTCTGACACCTCATGGGCGCAACCCAAACCCTGCAGTGTTCTACACCCTTGCGAATGTAAACTGGAAACCAGAAAGGAGCTGCATGCAACTTCATCTTGCACAGAAGAAGCAAGTGCTTAGGGATACGCACTAAGTTACAAAGACATGCTCTTTTACTGCCTCCATGAGGAGATCCAGATGCATCGTCACAGACTGTAAAATATTTTCTGGCAGACTTCTTGGGGCCTGAACTTTAATATCCCCCAGGGATGCAGTCAGCGAAGGGATTTCGCAAGAGATCAGAATAGATAGCATAGGTTCCAACAGCAACCAGCTTGCAAAGTGTTATTTAGTTCATTAGGAAAAAGGAAAGTAGCATATATTATTACTTTGCTGAAGATAAATTATTTTACTCTCATTATACGGCAACAAAATCCTTTAGGAAGAACTTCTCTATGTAATACACATACCAATAGAGTGTGTCTTCTGTGGGGAAGAGAGCAACTACCAACCAAAACACGGTGCACAGTAACAAACACAAGAAACCTTTTTTTGAAGAACCAAAAAATGGCATTAAATCTTGAACAGTCTTCAGGAGATGTAATATTTATCTATAGCAAAAGGTCCAACCACAAAAGACCAAAAGCTATTCATACCAGTCGTGAAAAAATTAGTCAGCCTGCTGGGATAGGTAGACACGATAATATCTTTTACAAAAATTCAAATCTAGCCTGCTTCCACATATGCATTGAATAACTACAAAGAATGAAATACTGTACATTCTCAAAAAATGTTTATAGGTCTTGAACAACAGAGGCTTCAAAGAGTATTTATTTCAACATTTTAAATAACTGGAAGTGTGTAATTTGTCAAATGGGGTAGAGGTTGTTTGGGTGTGGGTGGTTTCTTTTTTTTTTTTTTTAAAAAGTATTAACCAAAAAAAAAAGAAAAAGCGCGTCCAGAGCTACTTCTGCCATGTGCTCTCCTGCAAGGATGACACCTCTGCAGATATAATTGCTTCAGATTCTAACACATCTACAGGTGGAGACTATATAATTACAATTCAAAGCAGGCCTATGGACCGCTTTTCTATACTGAGCCCACACACAGATATCACTGTTTGAAAAAGACAGGGGCTACAGGTGTGTTTATAAGAGTGGTCACACACACAAGGCAATATACTTCATAAGGTTTGAAAAACTGTTTATAGAAAATAAGACTCACTTGCCACCCCAGAGGCAATTCCATAAAGTAGTCCTCCTCCATCTGTTTGCTGCTGAAAGACATGGGTCCCTGGAGGCGGGCTTCTTTCTTGTCTAATGAAGTTATACAGTAAAGTTTTCACAAGTCTGCTGGTATATGGGAGACTGAAAAGAAAACGAAAACAACTCAAAAGCTGCAAAATTTAGCTCAGCTACAAAGTCAGTGCTGTGCTCCCTTTTGTTCTCTGCAACTAGGCTATGTTTAGGGAGTCTTTGTTTGTTTGTTTTAAAGGCTGATCGCTTTTTCCATCTAAGGGACAACAGACAGTTGTTATCTCACCTGGGAAGCAAGTGTTTGATCAATTATACAACAGAGTCCAGACTAGGTGCAAAAGCTGGTGTTTGGCATTAAACACTGATAGTAACTCTCACTGTTGAGCAGTCTACCTTCTTTCTGGTTGGAAAGGGAAAGAATGCCAAGGTTTTTGCCCATGCAAAGCAGGATACTGTGGGATCACCTTCAAGGTGCAGGATCATGGAAACATTTTTTTGTTTATTTTCAGTTTTCAATACTACTTTTACATCAATCAATTTATGGAATCATTGTATTCTTTTATGCCTTGGCATAAAAGGAAAAATATTTATGCAAGGGAAACATGGTATTCATTTGGTTTTCCCCTCTATGTTTTGGTCATACAAAGCAGGTAACAATTGCATTCTTCCACCCCCACAATACTTTTGGCTGTGTGTGTGGCTGGGGCCAATTTGCTAGGAGTGGTGAAATATCTGACCTCACTTCAGTGATTCTGACAAGCGTACATAAAATTTGTTGGATTCAAATATAAGGCTACAATATTTCTAAAACAGAAGAGGATTTTATAGGAACAGTTGGCTCCCATTGCCGGTGACAATCTCTAATCCTCTTTAACCAGTGCCCTTTGAACTCTTCATATTACCCTAGATTCCCCACCCCTAAATCTCCATCTCTCCCTCTCTACCCAGAGGCCAGGTACCTACTCTTCCAAGCTTAGACCTACATATACTACCACTTCTCTCAAGTATTCATCAGACTCGTCCTCTAGACTGTAATACTACAGGAAAAAGCCCACAAAAAAACCCTGAACAGTGAAAGCTGTTTTAAGTAGTCAATGAAATTACCCTCAAAAATGAAAATTCCAAAATAGCTTCACTGAAGTCAGGGCTATGAGATTTAAACCTGAAACCTTCCAACAACTTTGAAAGATGCATTTGTTTTGTTTTCTTTTGAATAAAACAAATTGCAATCAAAATGCATTTCACCGTCTTTTGTTTTCAAGTACAAAGAGTCTAAAATAAGCCATCAGAAGGATTTGTTTTGCCATCAGCTACAGCCCCAGAACATGACATACCATCGACCGTGCATCAGGTATTTATGAATGATGCTCTCTCGCAGAATTTCCTTGTGAAATAATTGGCAGGAAAGGAAGACAATAAGCGTTGTCACAGCCTCCAAGGAAATGCTGTATGTTATATCTCTGCAGGAAAAGGGGAATATTTACAAAGGTTAATCTACCACTTTTGTTTACAAACTGACTTTATCATAGGAACATGCGGTAGGTTCACAAGCATTGATGCACTGTTTAGCACAGCGAGTCTCAACTGGAACACGGAAATAACAAGTTCAAAAAACCCCACTTGTTAAAAAAACAAAATCACTTCATAGGGACAATGATTATTTTTCTTAGATGTAAGCATTTTTATGACACGCCAAAGGACAAGACAATGTAAAAACATTGAGGTATTACCCAGAACACTGCAATTTCAATTTTCAGACTATACTTCATTCCAATATTAATAAAATCTCAGAAGTGCCCTCTTTGTCCTGTTAAACACAATTGTCCCAAAATCATCAGTCAAGGTCAGAGAAGGGTCCAGCTAGTTGAACACTGCTTCATCTGGCAGTAAAAGTGGCTCTCTAAGAAAGGGGCAACATACAAATGCTAGGCTGAGTGCAAGAAATGCTTAGGGTATTCAAGATACTGCATATCCAGTTGTTCAACTATTAAATGGCATTTGTGAGGCAACGGTGAAGTATAAAATTTCAGGATATGCTGATTTCTACTGCCATTTCCTAAGAATGTATTGTAATGATTAGACACTGACTGCACACAGCTCAGCAAAGCTCATTAAGTTGGACAGGTTAATTCGGAAAAGCTGTGCAGCAAACAGGATGGGAGACAGATCTGCTACTTTGGACATCTGTGATTTCTTTTGCTAACTCTGCATAAAATGATCTTCATATATATCATATTTTTAAAAAGGAGAGAAAGAAAAATGGCATTTGCCTCCTTTGCCTCCAAACTTTTAAAACACAATGGTTGGTTTAATTGGACTTTTTTCCCCTCTTCCAAATGGAAGGAGATGTCTCATCAAGTGCACCAACAACATCCTCTGATCTATTACGAAGCTTGTTATTAAGCGTTTTTAAAGTTTCCTCTGCTGTTACTATTTATTTTCACAGTATGCTTCTTGAACTAATAATATTATGCTATGTATAACATCTGTAGCAGGCCAGTTATCAAGTTATTTTGACATCTTCCTGCAAGCTTGTAGAAATTCAAAGATCTATTTATTCAAATATATCCAAATTCAAAGATTTTATAGTATCTGTTTTTTTCTAAATCCAGCAACGTGTGTTAAAGCAGTCGCGTTAAATTTATTTCCTGTGTTACAATGACACTTTCCAACAATCATAGTCTTAACAGTTAAAGCAAGTGTAAACACAAAACTGAGGTGCTCTTTCAAACAACGATGACTTACAAACCATAGCACAATATCTCCTGAAAAAAAAAATAAACACTCAGTGGAAAAGACTAGCTGGAATAAAACTGCTGCTCTTCATCGCTGGATTAGAACTAGTATAATCCTTACAAAAAAGGACAGGCTTTTCTTTAGAAGAAATCAGTTTAATTTTCAGAACACAATTATTTTAATACTCTCAAGTGTGCTACTAGAAATACTGTAAGTAACTGGCATTACTGTGAAATATGAGGAAGAACGGTTTCATGCATTATGCCATACAGATAGCTTAATTAAAACACTTCTGTAGTAGCTCGAGGCCAGAGTTTCTGGGGAAGAGAGTGTTAGTAATTTGCTCTAAGTCAACAGCAAACTGGAATCACAATTTCCTGGATCACAGTCCTATGCACCAGCCCACGGAGCCACACCACCTCCAACACAAAAATGTTTTTGAAAGAGAAGGTCATGCAAACTCACTGTTTTTATTCTCTCTCTCATGATTCAAGTGTTTGAATCCATAACATTTTAAGCTACATGACAGGAAAAGACTTACTGTGTAAACAACATTCTCCCTTAAAAATCATGAGGCACGTTTTAATCAGCTTTAGTTTTTGCAAGTTACCTGACTTTTTGCCCACTACTCCGAAAGCTAGCCAGTGTAAATGTTGATAATTAGATCAGGCCAGAGGTTACACTGTGATCTGGTTCCACTGCAAATTCATCTGAGCCAGAAACGAGGCTGAGCTAGGAACGGTTCCCAGCTCCTCCCTAAGTTGCAATGTGTGGCTGTCAACCACCTATATCAATCCCCATCAAAGCACGGAAGAGCTACAGGGCGATTATTAGATGTTTAGCCACCACGAAAATTTGTAAGAAATATTTTCACACGAAAATAAAATGAAGAGCTTGAAAGTAATTTTTCGTCATAGGAAAAAATTCAGAAGCTTATCATTACAAAGGCCAAGAGTATAAGATGAATGACTCACTAACCCTAAGTTTAACCTGGTCTGATGAATGAAAAGGCTGACTTCAGGACACGCTACAACTTCTGAAATACCCGGGTCACTTTGCTGAGAGGAAATAAATTTCACAAGGTCTACTATACTGTTTCTCCATTTCATTCATTCATTCGCTTACTTTTCTGACAAACCACACAAGTGGAAATGCAAATCTAAGGGGACATTGCAATATGCTTTTGTATTTTTGGAAGATTCAGTGTAAAGAAATAAACGACGAGGTTACTGTAACTTTCAAAAAACATCTGCTTTCAGTACCCTTATTACTCTTTTTTCTTTTTTTCCTTCAAATTCATACAACTCCATTTAGCAAGTTATTCTCTTTTAGTTTCTATTCAAAATCCCATTAAAGCACATTTAACTGCAGATCCACTCCACTCAAGCTGTAAAAGCAGTTGTTCAAATTAAACCTGCTCTCATAAAAATGCAATTAAGAGTCCTAGTATCTGGGGTAACCCTAATATCTAGGGTAATCCTTAATCTAGCAGCACAAGGATAATTTCAGAGCAAAATCATTTTCTCTGCTAAGGGTCAAACGTACAGTTTTCTGAAACTCAAGCATTTCTAAAGGGTCACAAGAACTACCAGGAACCTCTTTTAACTTCAAAGAAAGTATCGTTTATTTATATTGAGAGACTACAGAAAAAGGCTTTTTTTTTTTAATGCTATCGTTCATATAGAATGACTTTACATGGAATTTATGCTGATGTCGGACTTCCTCTTAAAATTGTTTGCTTGCAGATAAGGAGGAAACTAGAAATAATGAACTCATGTATCAATTACCTGTCAGGATTATTCATCTATTTATTTCAGAAAATCACAAGGGTTCAATGGTTTGAGGGTTTTTTCTTCCCAAGTACCTTTTTAAAAAATAAAAAAAATAAAAAAAAAATCCACAAATCCCAGTTAAAACTCATGACAATTCCACATCCCAAGTGGAATCTAGTTTGGAAATGTCAATGCTTATTCTAGTTTAATGGTTTTTCCTCTTCTCTTCTCTCTCTCTCCTTCCCATTAGAGGACATATTCCTAGATCAAGTAGACAAGCTAACAGATAGTCTTCTTTTGCTCCTGTTTGAAGAAGCATTTCTTTCATGAGGGCCCAGTCACTCATGCACCTAGCTCTAGAAATCATGACAATCATTTTTCTCCCACGTTTGGGTTATTTCTGTATTCAAAGGCAGCGTGTTACAAGCAGATATTCTCCTTGGTTTCACACTGCTCATCAAGTGCAGCAGAGTAAGCTACTGCTCCTTTAACCAGACTGAACGGGTCTAGTTCCTCGCATGTGACACCAAACTTAAAATTGCCTTCTGGCAACAAGGGTTCCTTTAGAGACTACAGGTGTACATATAAACTGTCTTATCTATCGGTGATTCTCTTCTACTATGAACTCTTCAGAGAAGGGGTCTTTCTTTGTTCTGAGTTTGTATCGTGACTGCAGCTCCAACATACAAGACACCTAGGTGCTAGTGTAAAGTAAGTATAAGGGTAAGTATGTAGCATAGGTTTTAATATCTACATTTCGGTGAGAAAACGCTAACATGTCAATGGATTTACGCTGTTACATAATTGCATACTCAATCACATCAAGTATTCATACAACTGTTTCCATAAATATAGTCTCCTGTCAGAAAAGCAATGGTACCAGATCATTTAAAGCTTAACAGAGGCTGTTAAACCAACCAGCTGTGCACAATTTCTTTTATAGCAATCTTTAGACAACAGTTGAGTCAAATGACCAAAATTCTAAGTAGTCAGCCAAGTTCTCCATTTTCACTCTTTTTCCCACGTAGATATCGTGGATACTGGGTTCCCCTTTGAGGGACCTATGGCCCTGGGAGTACTGCTTTAGAGAAGCACCGCATTTACACTTTAAAGTAGCACTGCCTTAAAAGAAATTGATTATTACAAGTAACTACTTCTTCCAAGATACCAACTGGAAAGGATATCACCTATCTTCTGTTTTGCTAACAAGAACATACGTTTTTATTTCCTGGGCCACATATAAGGCACCAGAAAGACTTTTTTTTTTTTTTGGGGGGGGGGGGGGGGGGAGGTCCTTTCAGGTTACTAAGTACCTCCATCTGTCTGCCTCTGCATCTGAGGCACCGAGGATTAGTAATACTGCTCCTTGTGCTCTAACCAGCAGGCAGTGTAGGAGGGGACACCCACTAGGCTCGGATAAAAGTCAGTCATTTTACGTTTTTTTTTTCTTTCCAAGCTATTTTGTCTTCCAGCTAACTAGCCACCATTTTATTTACATGTTTGAGGAAATGGAAGTGATTAACTCTGACTGAATTCAGAAGTCTGCCACAACAATTTATTTAACAACCTTCAGCCATTTTGGGCTGGAAAACCATACCCGATTATCTGTCTACATATCACACCCTCAGAAATTTTTGACTGCTTCAAACAGACCAATATTTCACCTTGCTTTTTGCTATCCTTGTAGACAGCTATTTTAAACACACTAGAACGCGGATTAAGAACGTCCAAAGGTTTAAAAACACTATATGGTCAAACAGTAATCTTTAACAACCATCGTTAACCAAACCATCTGCTTCCTCCATTCCAAATTAAGAAGTGGATGTGGACGACCTTCTTCCAGCAAGATCTACCAAGAACTTCAACCATCTACCTAGCTGTCATCACCATACGGCTGGTGGCCTCTCTCCAAGCCTAGGCAACGCTCAGAGCTGCTTTCTGTGCTCACCAGC